CGCAATAGCGATGCCGCTGAGAAATGCAACGAGAAGGCACCGTGTACGGCAGTGATCCTAAATCAACTCCCCCTGTGGAGCAAAAACAATGGCAACTATCAATTCCCTTGGTATGCAACGAGGAAAAGGAAGAAGCATATCCAATACTACGTCGATTCTGAAATATAAAGTTAATAATAATAAGTAATTTTTTCTATTAGTACGAGTTAGAGATTGGAACATAATTTTTAATTTTCTTACAAAAAGAGAAGCTTTACGAATAATTATAAATCTCATAAATATAACAATAAGCTATCTTCTATCAATCTATATCAATAAGATCAATTCAATTAATTTCTTTTGATTAAATCTTTATAAAATATCTTGTATCTTTATAAAATCCGTACTTTTTTGCTTTTTACAATCTTCTCATAAGGTGCGTTAAAAAACCCTTATATATTCAAATAAAATCTCGAGGTAATCGACAATTATCACTTTCATTGTTTCTCTTGTAACTTCTGGGATAGCTTCTGTTCGAGCTATTCGAAGACGCGGCGTCGTGACCGCGGCTCTCACGGTTTCGGAATTTGCTTCCTCGTATTACTACCCGGTTCCGCGGAGCTGGAAACGTTTTCGCTGTCGGCGTAAGTTTCCCACCGTCGGGGAGGATTTCAATGCGCGCACGGGACAACTAATCCGCATCGTGCTAATCGCAGCTGGAGCTCTCACAGTCTAATTACCACGGGCTTATTCCGAGGAGGAACGAACGTTCGATACTGCGAACTCTCGGTCTGGTCGCGCGCGACGTCTTTATTACGGCGGCTCGTATTCCGCTCGTAAAACTCTCCTCCGGGAATAACATCGGCAGCGAAGCGCGTCGCCCCCTCAGACCCTTTTTTTAGCCCATCGTTGCGAGACGCGATAGTGGGATACATTTGCGATTCGAAACGACGCATGCCGATGTGTCGCCGATTTGGCGACAACAGGTCGGAATCAGCCGGGTGGGCTGATAGCGTCGTAAAGAAAAATTTGCAACTCGGAAACTGCGCCGCGGCCTCGTAAAAGCGTCGCGTAAATAAAGTCTCGTGATGTAATAAGACACAACGATCGACCGGTTTGATAGCGAATCGCAAACTATACGTATTGTAAAAGAAGAAATGGAGTCGCTTTGATTTTATCTTAATCTGGATGAAGTCGTCGCAATTTTGTGTTAGGCATAGTAGGTATTTTACTGATAGTACGATTCTTGCCTATTTCGTAAAGAAATTACATAAAGGCAATTACATTGAAAAATAACATAAATACTATTAAATGATTTACTTTCTAAATAAAAATAGAAATTTTTACTTTTATTATCTTTATTAGCTTTTCATCATGCGTTTATTTTAATACGTTAATGTCGGTTTTAGAAGTTCTATTACTGACGTTAATTCTACAAACAGTCAAACTTTAAGTGCACAGCTTTGTGTATACAAAATGTCCAACTACTGCTAAATCTACGCAATGTCTACTTACCACTAAATAACACAATAATTCACGTCTTGCTCATTGTTTACCCTTGCAAATTATCCTTCACCGAGTTTGCATTTTGTTCTATAGTCATGCATGTGGAGAAATGCAAGTGCATTTCTCAGCGTTAATAAAATAATTTTTTTTAGCCTAAAATTTGATGTAAGAAGAACCTGATCCTCCGCAGCTCACCTTCTTCGTCGTATGATTTTGATAGCCGATGCGATCGTATATTTCACGTGCGTAATGTTATTCCTACACGCGCGAGATACGTCCACTGGACATTCGATTTCGCCTTTTACGGTAGGACGAATTTTTCTTGCGCGCTCGCCTCGGAGATTGTTGACCCTTTCGCGTCGTACAGTGGTGCCTAACAAGAATTGTTGGCTGACATCTCGCAATTATTACAGAATATTAAAAAAGCTAAAAATATGAATAAAACGTGCGTTCATCGACGAACATTTCGCATTAAGATTCTCCCGTTTTCACGCATCTCTCAATGCGATAAGTATACCATTTATCTTGTTTTATTTGCGTCATGCGGCATTTTCTGACATGAAAAATTTTGTCGTAAATTCTTGGTTATTACTACTGTTTTCACATCGTTATTGTTTTTACAAATTCGTCAAGATTCGAGATTTGATAAATAGTTATTTTGGATATTCTCCACGTGAATTTTGTCTGCACCATGCACCACTGCTCGCAAGAAAGCAACGCCAGTTTTGATCCGCAACGTACACCGTGCCAGCGACATCGAATACAAATAGGTCCGACGTTTCGCATCCCCCTGTCGTCTCTTCGCGTCAGTAAAGGCTGTCTTGCGCTGCAGAAACGACCTGATTTACGAGCACGATCCGTAAAATCTTCCCCAAAGACCGGCTTGAATAACTCGCGCGAATTGTGATATTCCCGTGCATTCGTATCGCGTCAAAGTGGAAAATATCCGATTTTAAGACTCGAATAATTCTATTTAAGGCTAAACAATCAAACAACGATAATGCAGCTTACGAATACGAGATACGTGCGCGCGTGTGTACGTACGATAACGTTTCCGCGAGCGTCTCCGAGCGAGTGGAGCGAAATCGAATTAGGCTCCCGGTATAAATTGCCGCGTCGCGATTTTTGCGTCGGAAATTCGCGCAGGCAATTATAAAAGGGCGATAAATAATATGCTAATTAGTCGGCGCGCTATACACGGCGATAAACACGGGGCGCACGGATCCTAGCGTGGCTCGGACACGATCGTGAATCACGATCATTGGCCGCGAGCGTGTACTACAAGGAGAAACTAACGTCCGATCGAAGATTACGGGGACTAACTAACGATTCCATTTGCTGATTGCTCCGGCTACTCCGGGCCACTTTTATCGGCCTACCTCCCACGAGAGAGGAGGCCGCAACGCACGCACGTAGCGATAAGCGTTGCAAGGTTGTTGCGCGTGCTGCCCGCGAGAAACGAGCGCGATCAATTAAGATCGATCGATACTTTAATATTCCGTCGTATCAGTGCGTGAAACTATCTCCCAGTATATCTCGGCCAGTCTCGCGCCCGGTGTTGCAAATATGATTATCGGTTAGCGTTAGATATTTATCGCTAGCTGTTTGTCATTACGGGGAGAATTACGATCCTTATACAGAAGCACGAATGAAGTCCCAGCGGGACTCGCGTTCGAGATATATCGAGTTTGCATTAATTAATTCCGTAATACATTAATGTGTATAACTGTGAACGATATGAGTTATGGGTATTTGTTAGAGGTGTTGTCTTTTAATTTTAATCAAAAATTATCCTCTCTCGACGTTGATGTTAAATGCAATTTTTTTTTCTCAGAAATGTTTAGCGAGTTTACGTATCTAATTTTATAATAAAGTTATAATAAAGTTTCATTATTAATCGAAAAAAATAGTTATCAGTGGGATCGGCGAGTGGAGACATTAACGATCAACGTGGAACTCGGGATTTAAAGTATAATTACTGTCCCGAGCAGATAACCGATGAGGTTCGTGAAATTTTCGTATTGTAGATAAGCAAAAGTGGACCACACATAGATCGTGACGTGAGATTGTCCGCGGAAGGCGCATGTAAGATTAATTTTCTCATATCGCCAGCATCGTAGGCTTGACTCGCAGAAATTGCAGTGTGCGCAGGAACGTTTCTTCTTTTCGTTCCGACTGAAACGCGTATCGAATTCAACAACTCGAGTCGACTTCAATTAAACTGTATAATACATGGCTTATCAGATCGAATTAAAAATAAAGCGCCCGCGTCATAAATTCTTTATTAAGCTCTTATTTTTAACTTCTGATAATTTATCTCGTAATAAAATCTTGTTTCTTTTTAATCGTTCTTTTTAATCTTTCAGACACATGGTAACGCCACTGCGTTAAGATCCTACTAGTTTACGAACCGAAACGCTTCCAGATCTGCCGTCCGTTGATTGGAGCTCTTGGTCTAGCCACTTGGAAGAGGGACGCGAAGTTTATGCATGGGCTCCTATTTCGGTTGAATGCACGCGGAAACGCTGCAATCTCGGGCGTAAACATCTCGCGTGACGTGAGGCGCGAATAATCGAGGTGCCGAGGATGCACGTACGTATACTCGGACTCCGCACGTATACTCGGCCGAACGTCTCGGAAATCATTATCCGGCGCTTTATCGGGCGCGGGCCATCCGCACGCGGGCGCGAAGTAACGTATGCGTGGCTTTTATCGGCTTTTATCGGCGCGAGTGCCTACGTGCGCCACGTCCGTGCCGGACGTTTCTATTATCGCGAGTGTGAATCGTCGTACCTTCCCACCTTCGTCCGTGCGCGTTCTATCTCGACCACGCGCCATCGCGATCGCAGCTTCGCACGCCGGCCGAAAGCCCGATTTTTCCCCGAGAGGGAGATAGATCCCTCTCGATCGCGCTTAACTTAATGAATACGCGGCTCGGATTTCGAAGAAGCGCGAAAACAACCGTCGGGGAACAATCGTCGGATTTTCGGACGAGGGGATCGGATCTCGCTCGCGCATATCCCGTTACATCCCGATACGCGATTTCCAACGCGCGGCTATATATATTTCTTTGATCTAATACATGGATGTTTTACGGCCGTACGCCTGTACGAGATAATGCCTCGGAGAGCTCTGGAACTCTCTGTGTGATCCAGATATCGGTTCGTTTCCTCCAGGATGGAGGACAATATAATATCCTGAGGGACAAAATACCCGCTCGGGTTTATGGCAATTCCATTTCTGCATCGTGTATTGCGCTACATTTATCTCCTCGCGCGCTCTCCGGTCCCCGATAGAAATATTGGAACCGCGCGTGATTTACGGCGACCATTATTATTTCGCATTTACCACACTCCCGCGCTACAGATACACGCGGGCTATCCGCGTACCGTTGCAAAAACCTGAGAATTTATACGGCATTTTATTAAGGCTAATAGACCGAAGGGCGGCACCGGGGTTCGACAATAAGGGAATATTACTAGGTACTACGCGCCCGTAATGCCACGTCGATCCGGCATAATCTACGGAGCGTTTCAACGGCCTTCTCGCGAGCTATCCGTTATGCGTGCCCACGCACGCACGCATGCACGCACGCATTCACACATGAACGAACGTATGTACGCACGTGTTCGTACGCAACACCCGCGAAAATAACCCGCGCCGAGAAAACGGGTTCGTGTGAGGCGTAACGAGATCTTTATATCTCTAACGCGCGGCGTTATGCCAGATTTCATGGTGGATATTCCCTCGATCGGATTCCGATCTCCAATCGCTGACCCTCTTGCCGTGGACACTCATCGTTTATCTGCTCGTTGACCTAATCCGCGGACGTCGTTTTGACGAACGGTCATGTGTATACATTTACGGCGCCGTGAATGCCTCCTCCTTCTCTCGAAGGTGAAAACTGGGATTTCAGAACGAACGCGTCGTGGCCAGATATATCCCGTGCATTATATATCAATATATCAACGAGAGTAAGTAAAAGAATTATAGTAGGAGTCTCCGCCGCAAATTTACAGATTTCTATTGCAACGTCCTTTTTTACAATGTAGAGGTATTGATGCATTACGTACATCGATATATCAATGAACGAATAAAAGAATTAGGAAAAAAGTTTTGTATCACAAAATTACGAATTTATATTTATATTACGATATTCATCCAGATATATCCAAGGTTTAATTTGTTATGATGCAAATTAATATTAAAAAATGAATCATAATAACAATAGAATTTATATTACGAAGTAAAACGAATTTCGATTGTCCAACATCCTTTTCCACAATATATATTTAGATATTGATCTACAGAGAGAACAATTTTACTAGCTAAATCTAAACATTTGACCAGATACAGATCTGAAAATAATTTTATTGGACCATCAAAATTATTATGTAGGATATTTAAATATGATAAAAATACGATAAAAAATTTTTGATTTTCTAACAATTTGTCGTCATACAGAATAATTTTGAAGTCCCAACAAAATTATTTTCAGATCTATATTTATACAAATTTTTCGATTTGCCAGCAAAACTGTTCTTTCCGTACATTACATATATCAGTGAATAGACTAAAGAAATTACGAAAATAATTTTCTACTAATAAATTATCTTCTAAAATTATGAATTTATATTTTTCAACATCATATTACAATATATGACGCATTCAGGTATATCCGTAATTTTATTTATTATGATATATTAACATTATCAAAAAATAAATAAAATAATTTTACGATAGAAGAATTCTTACTTCGTAGTTACGAATTTCTATTTTATGACACTGGAGATGAATTCAAACATCTTAGAAAGGGCTTAGGTAGGCTCGTTTGGAATGAATCGATATTCAGGTCTCTGTAAAACGTTCTCCTTGTTCTTACATCTCGCTCGTAAAACGCGACCCAACGTACCCGAAGCACTCAGTACCACCTGCGGAAAATAATCCTGTCAGATGCTTCTCTCCAGCATGCGAATGCGCGACTCGGAAAAATCTTCGTCATGAGAGGACGCATATAAGTGCACGCCGGATTCGCTCGCGCATATACGAGATCCGCCGTTAATCTCGTCGTTACTCGACGGACACGCGATATCTGCGCATGAAAATTTTAACGCCGTAATATATCGCGACTGTAAGAATCCGAAGTCAAGGTCGCGATTTCAGTTCCATCGGGCATAGAACGACGGCGACAAATCGCCGCCGCGGGCCAGTCATGAAAGAATACCGCCCAGGATTGTGATGTAAATTTCGCGTACATTCGAAGGGAACGAATCGGACTCGACGTGGCTAATTAAAGTCGCGATTCGGATCCGCGAGATTTCTTTCCCTATATGAAGATTATTTAAATAAACCTTCGAAGCCGAAGCTCCGCTCGTTATTCTCACGGGACAGCTGGACAACTCAATTAAAATTCTCGCCTGGGTTGGTATTATACGACGGTATAATTTGAGCAAGAAAGATTTGATCAAGCTCGTCATTAATTTAATATCGACATGTAAGGAAGGTGATAATTTATACACACAAAATTGGCAATGTATTTTTAATGAATCATACGAGGATCGTACGTAATAATTTAATACAAATTTGTAAGACGTCCCTTATAGAATAAATGAATGCAAGGTGAGAACGAGAATAATGTCCATGAAACGAGCTACTATAAGCGGGCTTGTCATCGATCGGCCGTACATGGAATTCTCACTAAAGATAATGCCTTATTTTAATCCTTTGATGCAAATGACTTGTCCGCGCACAAAACCTTTTTAATTTTAATTCTCTAGAATTTTGATACTTTTTACGATTATTTTGTGATAAAATTCTAATATATTACATTAGCTAATAATTTAATAATTATTTTTATTAAAAAATAGAAAAATATAGTTTTCAAAATTGATTTGAAGAAATATGTGTGAATATCTATAAATTTGAATCTATTTTATAAAAAGACCAAATTGAAGAAATATCAATCAATCAGAATCATGCTATGCAATTCATGAAAAATTATCAATGATAATAAGTGCGCATAGGAAATATCAGCGAAATGACCGAATCCTTATGTTGTCAGTTGGACCTTCTCATTCGAGTGTATTTGATGTCGATATTGAGAGGACTGGGCGACGGGTGTTAGGATCGGCCAAGTGGCGATCGGTTGAGCATAGGAAGCTGCTAAGTACACGCTTGGTTTGCTCGCGATTGGCACAGCTACTTCAAGTTTGGTATTGCGATGAATCTGAGTCCTGCTCTGATTGGAAACAGCAGTGACAACCGGAAGCGCTTCCTGATTGGAAACAGCAGTGACGACCGGAACTGTCTCCTTGGTGACGACCGGAACTGTCTCCTTGATGACGACCGGAACTGTCTCCTTGGTGACGACCGGAACTGTCTCCTTAGTGACGATCGGAACTACCTCCTTGGGGACAACCGCACGAACCGCGGCGACCGGCGTCTCGACAATTGCCAGCTGCGCCGTGTCGATCTTCACGGCATCCTTGCGATTTGGACCTTCCAATCCAAGACTCTTGTGAAGTTGGATCCGATTTTCATTGTAGTCAGGTTGAACGGAGATGATCGGAAGCGGCTCCAAGTTGACAGCGGTGACTTCCGGTATCTGAACGTCGATCGTGTCTACGGCTCTAACGAGCTTTTCCGGCACTTTGACGCGAAGATTGTTGTGCACCTGGAAGCGACTCTGATGAGACGTCGCCAGGGGGGCCTGACTGGGAAGAATCACGGTTTCGTAGACTGGTTCCGACAGGACTCCGATCGTGTTGATGGGTTGAACAGACTTCAAACGAATGTTATTGTGAACATCGATGCGGCTCTGATGAGAGGTTGCCGCGCCAGTCAATCTCGGGATCAGAACCGAGTCTAGCAGTCCGTATATAGGCGCGAAGACGGTATGTGCGGCGCCGCGATTGGTCCGACCTTCGGATTTTTCTCCGACGTTGGAAGCTCGTGGGAACTCTTCGGCGAAACGACCGCCGCCGAGTCCCGATCGGTCTGATCTCCCTGGGAACTCGGCTTTTCTGCCTGATGACGATCTTGATCGGCCGGTGCCTCCAGGCTGCGCTTCCTGCGGCTCATTGCGCGCTCCTCTTTCTCCTGGGCGGCTGCAGCAACAGCGGCGGCGGCGGCCTTCGCGTGTTCCTGCAGGTGGGCGTTCTTAGCTAACAGAACCTCGCCGGTCTCGAGCGACGGATTGCCGTCGGTGGGCAGATTCGTCGCCGCGACGCGGAAGCCGCCCTCATCCGCGACGTAGAAGACGGATTGTAGGATACCGTGCGCGTCCACGTAGCTGTAGGAGCCGCGCGTGACCCCATCGAGACCCCGGACTTCCTCTTTGGCGGACGGGCCGCCGGCGTAGCTGTACGCGTGCACCCCGGCGCGCGTGTCCTGCGACTGATGGTACACCGGAAGTGGATCTGCCAGATAGGCGTAGGGCAGCAGGGTCAGCTGCGCGCCCGCCGTCACGGCGAGAATCGCGAAAACTGGAATCTGTGGGGTTCAAATAAAGGTTTCTCACCTCGAACAATACGGAAGCGGGGGGGGGAGGGAGGAAGAATCAGGCGCCAAGATAAGTCTCGCCTCGTGAAGCAACCGACGCGTGTAAAAGCCCCAAACCTAATTCGAAACCCTATCTGCGAGCGAGATTTACGTTTCTTCGATCTAAACGAGCGCGATTCTTTATCGCGTATCTTTCACCGCGTGAATCATCTCCTTCCAGCAGCTGAAATTGCAAAGCGATAATTGCACGTGTTCTATATCGACACGCGCAATAAGCGCGACGACCCTACGATCGTCTCGGGATTAAAGAACGAACGTCGGTGCAATTCCGCGCGAAACGATATCCCGTTACTCGATATCGAAGATCCGCCAAGAAGATTGCCCCGTACCGGCAATACGGCGGAGGTACGATGCATTATACGCGCGCTCGTACGTTTCCGCGGCAGAAAATTCGGTCGAGTACGCTTTATCTAGTAACAAATGCAAATCACGAGTGCACGCCCTCGAAACGCTCATTTCGAATGCAATCGTCTCGTCGGTGGATTTACTCGCGCAACTAGAGTTGGCGCGCGTTCTCGGAATGCCTCCTCGTCGAACGCGCGAGAATTACCCACGTCAGGGATTTCGTTTTCAGCTCGAGAAGAAAGGAGGAGGAGATACCTCTTGCATTTACCGCGGCGGGTAGTCGGCGACGAAATGCCGGACGAATTTTTACGCCCGCGCGGTATCGGTAGCGTGGGGGGCACATCCGCAGGTAAACAGGAGTGTGGGACGGGGTGAGTTTATACTTGCATGAGCCTCTCGGGAGACTCAGCCTCTCTTTACGGTCCAATAAGGTCTGAAGAAGTGACGACGAGCCGCCTGTTCGGCGCGAAGAAAAGTAATAGAGAGCGCGGTCGATCTTTTACGCGTTCAGCCACAAAAGGAAGAAAAAAGCCGACGACTCTTCGAACTATATTTTCGTTTTAAACCGCTCGATGCAAGAGGGGAGATTATCGGTGGATGCGATCAGGAGAACATTGCGAATTTCAGCTACGGGATTTATTTGCAAATAAAAAGTAATTACGACGAATCGATGATTACAAATAGTCTAGAGAAACGACAATAATTAAAGAAAGAATTAATTTCAATATAACGATTGAATCTATCATGAAGAAATAGCACGTACCATTAAACAAACATCTCGTAAAATAAACAGATGCGCGAAACTATAAAAGGAAATGACATAAATCAATTTTCATAGAAATTGAAAAATTTCAGAAATTGAATTAATTTAAAACTCGAAATTTCCATGCTTGTTCGAACAAACGATTTCGAAAGCGAATTCGTCGAAACTTGCTTTGCTGCGGACTATGTAGCTATCTGTGTAAGCGTTAAATAAAGAATCATAAAACGTTGTAACATTGTAACCCACAAGACCGGCACGAAAAACCTTGCTTTGCAAAAACAGCAGTTCTACCCCCATGTTAGCATTGGATAAGAGTGTGCCATTGGTCGAAGGTTTCGCCGCCGTAAAACGCGCGTGGTGGTCGCGCTCTCGTACCGTGGATTTACACGCGTATATTTTTCACCGCTTTTATATCTCGGCAAAAAGCAAGTAGGCCGACGGGCCTCATGCAAGAGCAATCCTTACAAATAAATTATAACGTTCACTCGTATATCACTCCCGCGAATGTTCGTTCTTTGCACGACCGCTATTTAGCGGTTATCATCTAAAGTAATAAAGACTTTACTTATAGATTTTTATGTGCAGCATAGATATAAAAGCAGTAGTTTAAAAATAATTAAAAAATAGATCAACGTAAATTTTATTATAATTTTGTACTATTTAATGAAGAGTTTCTTGCAAAATTCTATTTAATTAAATCTATTTAACAAAGTCTATTTAATTAAATAAAATTTATAATTCGTATAAGAAACTCATTTTTAGTTTACATGATGCGAAACACCGAGGCGTCCTCTTTTAAGAATTAAAAAATCAATATTAAAGGAATCAAAGTCATCCTCGAGATAAAAAAATTAATAAAAATCTAAATAATAAAACACTTCAAAATCTGAAAGAAGGGCTTACCAATGCCTGCATCACACACGGTATGTCAACCTCCTTGCTGGCTGAAGGACTGTCTGGGCTGTGCACTTTGTTCGCGATCTGGTTTTGACTTATATACGCAGCGCGAACCGGGCGGGATGACTTCGAACCAGGAACCTGAAGAACTGTCGAAGGACAAGGCGGTTTCCACTCGCCGAGACGGGATACGTCGATCCCGGATCGTGACGGTCGATCCTAAGATCCCCCGAGCACTTTCTCGCCCATCGTGCCGCCTTCGGCGTGTAATTTCGTTCGCGCTTGTCGTAAAGGTGAGAAAAACGGATGTACCGGATTCGATCCTCTTGCTCTTCTCGAAATGAATGATGGACAAGTTTCGCTTTCTTTCAACTTGCTGGAATTTAAGACGTTATCGTAGAGTAATAAATAAACAAGCAGATCTTGATTGATTTGCTATTTGGAAAAATTAACAGGTTTAATTTGTCATCACATTATTATATTTTAATTTATTCGCCTCTTTTCATTTACACATTCTTCTTTTATTTATCTGTAAAAAAAAGACACACCTGTGGTTCGTCCATTCAATTGGACATTGATCATTAATTTCTCGATGAAGAGAAACGAACGTTCAATTCTTCGCCACGAATTCCTGATCGTAATTATCTATATGACGCATGGCTTGGAGATTTTTAAGCGATAATGCAATTACGAGGCGTCGTACAGAACGGAGAGTTGAATGAAGCGGACACGCCAGAGAGACGGAACTGGTTCGACTTACTCGAGGTCGTTCAACGATCCCAATCGCGAAGGGATACGGAATTTCTTCGGTGGTAACACAAGCCCGGGCGTTCTGGCTTCGCGCACCGGCGGCTACGCTCGACCTCGGATCGCTTAATTCGCGACACTATGACGTACCTTAATGAGATTCTTACGCGAGAACCATGTTCCGGTTATGCTGGCTTCCTTACCTAGTCCACGATTATTCAAAGGAATGCAAAGATCCAGGGGAGAAGTGACTCGGAGACGTTGTCTTTCAAAGGGCTTTCCAGGGGAGTATACATCTGTCAGAGGATCGTTTGAGAAGCTGTTTCATTAGTTTACGGAGAGGATCTACGTTCACATTATTAGTTTAATGTCACCATTATAATTGCTACGACGGTTGGCCGACATCAAGGCCATCAGGGTCCGCTCTCGGTAACACTCGTCTCTGCGTCTTATAAATACGCGGGCACGCACGTATTTGTTTCTGAGATGAAGCTTGTTCCTTAGGTTTAATGCGCGCGGTTTATTAAAGTGCATACCAAATCGAAACTCATACATGTCATAAGTTTGCGAACAGGATCAAGTAACATGCCTTTAATTTTCTTGATGGTGCGCCAGGGGAGGAGACTAAAGCCTGACTTGTTACTCTTCTTATTGCTTCTTCCACCGCGAAGCGTCATACGTTTAAGAAATTGTGCATTTGACATCAGTAAAAATTTCGTACTTATTAAAGGTCTACACAGTGCCCCGCATGTTATTCTCTATTATAATTATAATAAATTGTGTATAATAACTGTGTTTAAACATATGAATTAATTCAGATAAATTAGCGATGCGAAAATGTCTTCGTAACTTTAATACACGAAAAACTCAATCTTGGATTCTTAAATTCTTAAGTTCTCATATTAACGATTTTATATAATCAAAAATTGACAAAATTACTCCGCTCGCTTGTATTTAAATTCAATTTCTATTACAAAAAATACAAGTATAAAAAACGAAATTTACGGAACTTACGGCCCTTGCTTACGAGTAATTTTCCTTTAAAACGTGACCGGCTTCTTTCTTTCGCTTTTTCTTTCGCAGAAGCGCGATTTATGCACGCGATTAGAAGCGAGATCGTACCTGACGATCGCCAGCAATTGTCGAGAATTTTTCAATCGCGAGTAACTCGATTGGCCTCGATCAGGGCCACAACGCACTCGTGTTCGGCGGAATTGTTCGGCTGCCGCGGCCTTTTTACCCCTTTTTTCACGCGCCGCAGACCGCAGACGTCCAGGAATCCCTCCTCTGGCACAATAAAATCATACGACCCTCGTCCTTGGCGGTGTCGGAGATTGCGATGACCCGGACCGTATGCGTGTGCACGCGGCGTATGGTGTCCGTACGCCTCGAGCGAGTATTATAATGACATAAAGGGTTGCAAGCGCAAGGGATCAACCTGTCCACTGCCGCGATGTGTAAACTCGAGACCGCGAGTATTTGCATACATCCTTGTTTTCCAAGCAGCACGGACTTCAAACGCGAGCGATTGACTCGCGCGTAATGAAGTGCGCGATATCAAAGCGGATTATAATTAACACAATTACGCTTTTAATTATGTCACCAGTTGTAGCACTAGATATTGATGTCTTTTTGGAATCGACATCCCTATATACTGCAGATAATTTGTTCATATATTTATAAGTTTTAGATTGCTAGATATGAAATACATACTACACGTAATGATCTTGAAAATTTTGTGGAAAACGAGTTTTTCGTGAGATATATATATAAATATTTTTAAATAATGCAGTATCCTATTTTATAATGTAAAAAGAAACAAAATTTATTTCTAGAAAAAGTTCTAAAAAAGTCAAGCTTAATATTTTCAAGATTAGAAAAAAATATGCGTCCTTTATTTGTCTATTTAATTTAATAAATATTTAAATTAATTAACATTTTTTATTCGCTTCCTAGTGTAAGAATCATTTCTTCATGAGATTCGTATCTCGTAATCGGGTAATTCGATCCCGAGCGTCGAGGAGAAGATTTCTCATTCTTCTGGTCATCGGCCGTATCACGATGAAAAATCGGGATGTAAGAAAATGTGGGCGGGTATAGTAACCACTAAGGAATATCGCGTTCGATCTCTCGGCGCAATGGACCGATGCTCGATATTTTTTTGTTATGGCCTAGCGTAAACGCGATATAAATAGGGGGAACGTTACGATAAGCAGGAAATACAACTTCCACAATGGCGGTCAGTTACCGGTGTATTATTCTGAATTTTAAACAGCATCGGGGATGGCACTTAATTCACGCCCATGCCCCGCGTAGCGCACGTGCGCGTCGACATCGCCAGTTTAGAGTCGACGTTTAATCTCGGCGGGATTCCTTACTCTTGCTTTTAAGGAAACGATCGACGTCGATTTAGTCAGGAATCCCGCCGCATCCGCAACCCGGATGCAGCTCTCGCAAGAATGTCCCGCGCAAGAATTCTCACGCGACGTGTTTGTTTGTCAATATCCAAGCATCCTGCTTCCTCATTCCTCCCATCGTCGAGGACCGTTTCGCGGGCTAATCCAACAAGACACACCTTCAGCGAGCGAGTCCAAGCGCGAGGTAACGGCAAGCCGTGACCTTTCAGGTGGTTCTTCTCGCTTCCGGTCATCGTCCGTAGCACGATCGCGAAGGGACTCGCGGTCGTGGGCGCGATCTTCGGGATGTCTTGTCCGCAGGATTCGTCTTGTATTTACTGCTACTAGCAGCAACAGTAGCAGCAGCAGCAGCAGCAGCAGCACGTAGAAGAGACACCGGCGTTGGCGTTTGTAGGCGAGGATAGCCGCGAAAGCGTGGATAATCAAGGAATGGGCTCCCGCGTGTCGACGCGAGGCCAGGAAGATGAAGAGGATGGCGAGGAAAAAAAAAAGCGGCGAGAGAAGATAAAGGGAGAAAGAGATCGCGCGCGATCGAGGACGAAGGAATCGGCTACGAGAGTCGTACAATAATGGTCGGACCGTGAACACGGTTGGTAGAAACACTCGATCGCTCGCGCTGCTCTCCTCCGCTGCTGCGCACCGTAGGTCAAGGCACCTCTTATTTCCTTAATCCTTCTTCGATTCAGAGACTTCAAAGTAACACACCGATCGGCAGTTCTTTCCTTTCTCTCTTCTTTCTTTTTCTTTCGTGATTCTCAGCTGCAACAATATGTAGAACTTTACGATCTTACAGTTGTAAAATAATTGTAATGATGACACAACGTAATTTGTATATCTATATCGGTTCAAGATACTGAGAGGAATAAATTATTTGCATATAATTAGCTTCCTCCATTCAATGTAATATTCTTTATCAGAAACGAAATTTTTCAATTCGATATTCTTTCATTTGGTCTCCTTAATAGTCTCTCCGCACAAGCTCAAAGATCATGATGTTTCGCTATTTTTATTAATGAAAGATTATTTCAAGGAACATTCCGTTGACTAGATTTTTGATTGAGCACGTCGTTGTTAAGTTCCGTTTGCTTATCGTTTTCTTATCAAGGCTAAGTTAATCGCTATATATCATCGCCGCATACAAGATCACGTTTGCCGTGTGTATCGGCGACATTTCTCAAGTGTACGCGAAAAGAATCATCAAGCCGCCTCCTCCTTCCCCTTTCGCAGATCTCTCGCCAGTCGTCTCGGACGCTTGGTGTTACGTCCCGGCGGGACGACCATTTAGAATTCCAACAAGATGCACGCGTCCGCAGTGCGAACAGTAAAATCATCCCCATTGAAAAATCGCCGCCAGTGGAAACCCCCATGTGCGAAGAACCACACCCACGCATCTCGCCGCGTCGACCGCCGTCGAGATCCGGCTACATATTTGCGGAGGTCGCCTTACGTCGTAAACAACATAAACATAATGCAGTCGAGCCGGTGGACCACACCCGGCGTGCATATGCACTCACTCACGCACATATAGGCGTATACACTCGCATATGCGTGTACGCATATTGTAGCAAGAACTCGACGCGACTATCCGCGCGACGTGACATTGCTCATCGTGGTGGTCGAAAAATGTCGGCGGATAAAACGGATAAGTGGATAAATGAACTTCCTCATTTGATAAATTGTACAAGTCGCTAAGTGGTCCTTTATCGTGTGCATTTAAATTAAAACGAATGTACAACCAAAAGGCGTGTATATCGTATGCTCGATGGTATAACTGATGCACTGGTATACTGATGCACCAGGTGTAAAGTGCGCTAAACGATAAACGTGATTCTTGCGTTTCTTTCTTTTTTATAGTACTTTCTTATGAACAAACTAGACACTTATAGTATATTTAAGACAATAACGATACTATATGATAACAAATTATGTAAACTACTATATAATGTATTCTCAAACAAAACAAGATATAAATTTATTTAGCTTAACAATTAATAAATTTATAATAAGATATACTCCTATAAAAAATTATAAAATTTATAATTATAATTTATAATTATAAATTTTATTATCAACATAAATTGCCACAATTTTTTTTTATTTATTAAATCCAACTATACAACTTCAGGAATAACCTTTATATGTAAAACATGCCCTCTTCTTAAAACAAGCAAATCTACAATCCCTGATTGTTCTATAACTTTATAAATATTGTCTGAATTCAATACAGGCTCGCCATTAGCATGCGTCACTATATCTCCACGTTGCAATCCAGCACTGTAATAGTAAGAAGATAATAACTAAATCTTCATTATTATATAAATATGTATATGTCCTATATATATTTATTTATTACAATTTCTTCAATATTAAATATTATTATAATTAAATACCGAATTTCATTCTTCATAAAAAATATTCAATTATTCTGTTATTTTATTTTGTTATTTGATACTTATTCTGTAAAAAACTTTTTGTTTTCAATTACTTGTAATTCACAAATTATATGATAATATAAAATATGATAATATAAAATACATTTTTAAGAAAAACATTTATTACAAAAACATTTATACAAATTAGTGAATTCTCAAATAAATAAAATTTAAGATGATAATAATGGAAGACTTTTATATTATTTTATGACTTACTTATACGCTGGAGATCCGCGTATTACTTTCCATACAATAACTCCATGCTGAACATTCATAAACTCAGTATATTGTTGCATCTCATGCAAGGTTTCTGGCATCAGAGTTAACATTGTAATACCAATATATTTTCTATTGGATGTCTTTGTTACGTCTGCAAAAACAATTTTTGTTTCAGTATGGATTGAAATATTTCAATTTCCAAGTCTATATCCAAGTTTATATCAAGTTTAGCTTATATATTGGCTTTTTTTCTTCAATCTATTAAAATAATAATTCGAGTTACCTTTGTCCTTTTTACATGATTCCTTCAAGAATTCTTTTGCATAATCTATAGGTATGGCAAATGAAATGCCAGCCGTCATTTTCATTGCATTTATACCTATCGCCTCTCCATTCAAGTTCACAAGAGGTCCACCCGAATTTCCAAACTAGAGAAACACAATATTTATTAATCATATAAAGTATGACATAACACATATTTTTTCAAGAATCAAAACTTAACAGTAACTGCTGCATCCGTTTGAATGTACTCCATGTGCGAGTCTCGTATACCAAGTTGTCTACCTTCTCTCTTTATACTGCTCACTATTCCACTTGTTATAGTATTGTTAAGAGCCAACGGGGAACCAATAGCCACTACAAACTCTCCCAGTCTGATATTGGCTGAAGAACCAAGTTTCATTACTGGCAAATTAGTCTGCATGATTGAATAGTACAAGTTTAGTAATCATCAGAATTTTAATATTTATATTTATATAAATAAGAACATTACCGCATTTATCCGTACGGTAGCAAGATCACTTTGCATATCTATACATTCTACTGTTCCAATATATGTACTACCATTATGAAGTTGTATCTATAGAAGATAAGAAAACAATATAAAAAAATTTTTTCATGATAACAGATTACTAATATAAATTTTATTAAATAATAATCTAAGTTAAAGATCGATTTTAAATTTTCAAAAAATTATTTATAAAATTCAAAATATATCGTCTAATATTGCTTGTGGCACATAGTTATATGCATAGTTTGTTCAAAAAGAATAAGAAGTTTCCCAATGGACTCACGCTTACTTTAGCCGTTGTATTGGGCTTATCTATTACAACATGAGCATTTGTCAAAATTAATCCATCTTGACTAATGATAAATCCAGATCCCCTATTGATAATAAGTGGATTTCTGTTTGCAATTAAAAAATGATGATCAATATATACTTAAATGAAATCATAGATATATGCTAGATATAAAAATATATCGTTACGTTTTGTCATAGATCTCAATATATACAACAGTTGATATACATTCCTGTATCACGTCCGCTATAAAATTATATCTATCTCTGTTCCGATGAATGTCATCGGGCGGTGAAGCGGCATGTATCATGGAAAAGAAGGGAATATTCAGACTTTTGATTCTGTGTCGAATATCATCTCTCCAATTATACAAAGCGTAACCGAGACCCGCCGCTGAGACGAATGTGGTGTAGGTTAGGAAGTTTTTTTCTTCTTGCTGAACACTCCCTGTTCATGTTGACATTGTTGTCGCTGTTGTTTTTGTAAATGAAACGCTCGAATTCCCGTATGCGGCTTGGCGAGAATAATCGTGGTGAAACGCGGCACACTCGTGCCGCTCCTCACAAGGAACATCGACGGCATACATGTCCAGGTAAACGCCATCTTCAGACTGTCAAGCGAATATTCTGTTTGGTCGGCGATAATCAACAATCTTGATACAATTCAAACGCTCATGACCGCCTCGAGCTCCCATTTTCGTACAAATCTCCGAGAAAAAGACCGTTCTCGTACCGGTGCTCGGTAAATGATTTCAAATCTTCGCGCTTGATTGTTTTTGGTAAACTTCGTGCAATTTCTTCGATTGGTCAAAAATTTGAACGTTGAGCATGCGCATTGCAGGATTCAGCACGAGTAAAATTAGTGGACAAACAAAAAAGATTTCCGTAATAAATTTATAAAATAAATTAATTAAATTAAATTTATTAACTTTACTTATACTTATATATTACAATTTTGTCTCTATTTTTTATAATTTTTCATTTAATCTAAATTATTTACTCTAAATCCATTATAGGGTGTCCCAAAATTATCAGAGATCTTTTATAAGCGAGTTTTTTTGAAATATTTTAAGACAGAAATTCTAACACGAAAATGTTTATAATATTTCTGAAATTATTAAAAAAAATTGATCAACTACAGCGGCTAGATTTCGCGCACTCAGGCATATTATATCGCATGGTAGTGAAACTGTTATCGTACATTGACTTTCTAAATATTAACATAATGTTTTATATAAGAGATCAGAGATCTTTTAAGCTTTGTCTTGCTTATCTGTGATTATTTAATTTAAATTACACATAAGGATTAATGTTAGTCTAATATCAAACCACATATATACATCGAATTGTCAAAACTGTCGAATGAAGTACGTCATGAACGGGCGAGTGACTTTTCTCGTAATCATATCAAATTATCATATGAAATCATCAATGTAGAAAAATCTTATATTATCATTACAGTATTTATTTCTTGTTTATCACATAAATAAAAATTAATTCATATATATGACACAAAATCTCACAAAATCAAGTCACTACAGTTGGTAATCAATTTTATTTGTTTCTAATTTAATAAGTATTGTAACATTTTTATATTAGGATTTTCGTTGCTTTTGCTTAAAAATTAGAATATATTGAAAAAATTTTAAAAATTATATTAAATATAATAGTAGGAAGTGCTTTTTTTCTCTCCTCCAAAAAATAATTCATAGTAGGTTTGCATTTTTATTTTTTTCATTGTGTTGTTAACACAGTATAATTATAAGATGAAATGTCAGATTAGATAAATGATATCTATGGAATTAATTAATTATATTATTGAAACATCTCGTTAGAGACTTCGTTGCCTGGGAGTATCACGTTCAAATCGGCATCGAGTTTTCGATCACTGCCAACAGCATTCGAAATTCTGCAGGATGAATCGATGTAGCAAGATTCTAAATGAAATAATTTTCATAAACATTTATAAATTGACTAACAGACATCTTTAAATAATTTTCATCTGATATTTCAATATATATATTTATATATATATATTTTTTAAATTATATATATATTTATATAAACTGTGTAAAACGATTTTAATATTTAATATATATTAGAACTTTTCAACATTACAAAAATGACTGATGGCTTTTAAAATTCTAATCGAAAATTATTTTAATTACTATCACATCAATCTCTATATAAAGTTTTTAACAAAATATTATCTACATAAATGTAAATTTTTTTACGTTACGAACTTTATTTATTTGGAGTAAATACTATATTACAAATTCTTGAAAAAGTGAAATTTAACGTTCAATCTTAGGAAATTTTTGAAAAATTTATCCCACCTTGTGAGCAGCAAATTCCGTTTGAAGCGCATCTCGCTGTATTTCCACGGCACATTGCGTATCCAGCGATGCAAGGCCTAATATATAAACTTTCTTTTCTGCATCGATATGTTTCTGATGTTCCTATGAAGCAACCGATATTAGGGCCACAGCAGATATGAGGCCCAAAGCATTGTCCTAGATGATTGGGACCACATGAAGGACACTGAAAGAAGAATATGTAATAATGTAATTATAAATATATTATATATGCTTATATATAAATTACAAAGATATCATTAATAAACTGTAGGAGTTTATGCAGTTACATATTATCAGCAAATTAAAAATCAATCTAATTATGAAAAATAATTACAAACTAGCAATATAAAAGTAGATCAATATGTGAAATATAAATTTTAATGACGTATTAATTAAATATAGAAGTTTCAAAATTCCTAATAAGATTAAATTTTTAAAAAGTAGCAGAAATTAAAGAATGTGATATTGTAAAAGATAGACAATGTGATATATAACAAAGAATATAACGCACTTCCCGTACAACATTTCCCAAAGGTGCGAGATCACTTCTCTTTCCGCCGCGAGGACAATTCGTAATTAAACAAGCATAACTTAGGAAAATCAAACTTGCAAAAACAACAATCTTTTTTAACATTCTGAGTATATTTTTGTTGTGCGATGTTGTGCGAGATGATATACGGACGATTGGAAAGACACTTCTGCATCTCGAGAAGTTTCCTCAGTTATTTATATCATTGAAACTTGGTACTTAAAATTCCTTCTGGGTATTCGGGAATATTTCCACTCGCAACACAGCACTCTAAAGATTATAGAAATCCCATCTTTATGTGAGAATATAAAGATGTATAATAAGGTGAATAATAAGATGTTGTTCCTCCATGTATTGTTATGGGAATAGTTTTTCTATTTTTTTCTATTTTTCTTTACAGAATAAGATTTGAAAAATATGCAGAGAAAGAAATAAAAATATATTTGCGAATCTTTCTTATAATATGTATATATTCATACATCCATATGTATATTTCATATAATTAGCATAAGCATATTGTTACATAAATAAACTTACACTTTTTTATTTTACTCGTGAGAGTTTCTTATTTTTTAGGTTTTTATTCTTTTTTAATTTTAAGACTTTATTTTTATCGATTATGAAAGCTTCTTGTTTAACTTTCTTGGAATGTTCAATTTTGCTCTTCTTAATTGGCGATGTTTTTAATCCACGATCTATTTTGCGTTTCTTGATTGTCTTGTCTTTCTTTATATTTATCTCATTGTCAGTTGTAATTTTAGTAGAAGATAAATTAGGACATTCTTTTCTAGTGTGGCCTACAAATAAATAAAATATTAATAACAGATGTAATAATTAATATATTAATCGAAATGAATATTCCGGCACTTACCTAATTCATCGCATTTAAAACATTTTCCTGTAATAATTGGTATTGAGCCACATATATGTTTCTCTAACATACATCTTTTACAAATTTGACAATGTTTCCAAGTAGGCTTCACACAGCGTTTGCATATGTTGCAGTGCTTGTACGTTTGACCATCTTTGGAAGTACATTCCTTACACTTCTTGCAATGCTTATTTTCACCGGAAACCCACTTTTCACAGTGTTTGCAAAATTTATATCCATCAGACATAGGAAGCTCTAGTAGATTCAATGGTATATTCGTAAAAATTCTCACTGGAGAACCATATTTCTTACCATGTTTTTCTGATATAAATAAGGGATGATTATCGTAATCCACTTTATAATCAGACATTTTCAAGTCTTTCAAGCCACCAGTCACACATGGTGGATTACTTTTCTCTCTCATTATATGTTCCATAAAATATGGAAATATAAACATAATTTTTAAAGAAAAATCATCATGTTTATTCAATTTTTTGTATAGGTCATATATTGTCTGTATGGTGTATGATATCGGTTCCACACGACCACCAAATGGAGGATCACATATTAAATAAGTATCTTTTCCATCATTTTGAGTAAGAAAATCTTTAAATATACCAATGGCATCTTTGTTAAAAAAGTGATGATTAAAAAGATTATACCAGCAATAATCCAATGGACCAAAAAAAATTATGCTGAAATTATATATAAAAACATATTAAATATGTTAAATAATTTATGTAAATAATTTATGTTGAGATTAATATATATATTTATATAATACTTTAACATAATTAATAATTTCTGTAGTTTTCAAAAATACTTACAAATCTTCCATCAAAGTCTAAAAGAAGAGAAGACATTTGATCCATATGATGTTCGATTATATATTCATGTATTCTTGGCGTTCCGATACAAAGGACTTGCTTAGCTCCAAGTTTCAAGAGCATATTTATTATATCTTCTGTGGATTTCTTAGAAAATAAATATTGCGCTTCCTTCTTTGCATTCTCTAAAGGTTTTAAAAGCTCCGTTGGATGATGCATTTGATAATCAGTTAAATACTCTGTAATTTCGTGATCTATATGGTCGTCTTTTTCAAAATTAAATATTAATTTCTCACAACTATGACAGTAACATCGCTTTGTCACAGGTTCTGTTTTGAGTTTATTAAAACGAATATATAATTCTTGATGAATGTAACGTCGAACAAACTTCTTATTTTCCAATTCCCACATATGTTTTTGAGATTTAGACAATTCTTGATCATATTTTAAATAAAATCTGCATAATTTTCTATCTCGACAGGCAGAACATGCATAAAATTTATCTATTTCACCCTTGATATATCTACCAAATAATAATGTTGGTCCTGTATAAAAGAATTAATTTTATCTAGATATATGAAGGAATATATAAAATTAAAGGAATATACAACACGAAACATGGCATTTCCTCGGCAAATTAATTTTTTTTATATAGAAGTAATAAATTTAAATGTGCACAAATGTGAAAATTACCATGAGGACATCGCGGGTGATTTGCAAGACTTTCCCATAAATATTCCACACCACGTGGGTCACTCATGTTGTGTGCATACATAAACAATTTACAGCTGTTACAGGTAAGTTTAGGTTCTATTATCCTAGTTGAGAATACATATATTAGATGGCACAACATTTCACGATGATTTTTACTGGTTGGTTGGTTGAACCACTTGGCGCCAAATATAAATCATCTAGCTCAAAGTTTAGTTGACTCAAAATTCTTATAATTGTTTCAAATATTTATATTAATTGTTAATTATAAGCAAAATAAAAAATAACAATTTAGATCTAGATGGGATTTCGAAATATTTTAAATTGTAATTGAAATAGTTTAACAAGTTCGATGATTGATTCATTTGAAAGGTTTGAATGAAATTGAATTTTGTCGCAAGTCAAAAATGTGTTTTATTATTATTTGTTCTACAAGTGCTGTGAACGTTGATGTCGCTGGTGTATATGCGAATTTTCTTATTATTTCTTAGAAACATAATAGCAGATACATGAAAAGGGCATATCAAGCCACTAAAGTTTTTACGTATGCTTTTTCCGATATTAGAATTTTTATTTCGCAAAAAATAGGTGAATTAAAAAATAATTGATTATTATTATTATGCCTTCCTCTTTCACACGTAATACACGCATACACACCATGCGCGCGCGCGCACATACAGATACATACTAATTTTTATTTTTCTCGTTCAAGAAAAAATCAAAAAATATTTTTTCTGTTAGAGAAAAGATAGAAAAAGAATAGAGAAAAAGAACACATTTTTTTCTATAAATTGATTATCTCGGATATTAGCGATCTAATTTTAAATAAAATAAACTTTTGACAATTCACCTATTTTTTGCAGATTATTCGTAGTATTGCAGCTACATTACATAGCACATATCACACAGTTAATAAACTTGCATTTGGACCTTACATTGCATTCATTAAACAGAATTTAAGATATTAAAATAATTTTTTTTAACTAATATAGCAGCAAGTCCATATAATAAGAGCTTGCGTAAATTAAATCAAAATTAAGATCCTTCAAGAATGTATTTGGAAACAGCCTATTTCATTCTTATCCTAAAACATTGCAAATATCCTTTCGAATGCACGCATTCCATAAACTCTGCTTGTGAGTTTAACCTGTGCGCATTCTGTAAAATTGTATCACAGACTATTGCTGACAGTAAAAAGAATATCCGCTAAAAATATGAGCTTAGGATTACTACTAATGTCGATGTGTTTCCAAAACGTGTTTTTAACGGGGAATGGAAACTATCGAAATAAAGTACCTATTTACATCAGTGGGCAATGTAAAGTCATATTATAAGTTCTCTATAATAAAATTTACGCAATGTTTTTCCTTACGCCTGATCCTCCTATATCATTGATGTACATATAAATGAAAGAAAATGTATTCTGCAGTCTCATAAGCATACACTCGATTTAATATTGCATTTGTTGCCTCTTGAAATACTTGTACATGAAGTTTGTAACAACTGTTAAAGCATCTAAAATTATAACACTAATACAAATGCGATTTCAGATATACAAATTCACTACTCAGTTCTGCTGTTGCACGCCTAAATTATATCAACTATTTTGTATATTTTTATATATATATATATATATTTATATATATATATATATATATATATATATATATATATTAT